TATGTGCCTGCTGCCATCTCCCGGTAGTTTAGAGGTAAAACCATCACAAATATCGTACTAAATTTTTTCCAATGTATCCTTTAGAAAAATGTCAAGTCCTTGGCGGTGGGAGGGAGAGGGACAGGGAGAAAGAGAGAATTTAATGTTGTTCCACAGCAGTAGCTTTCAAAACTCCCAAAATCCACAAAAAAGTTATTTCACTGTACAAGGCGGCCAGTATCTGGATGTAGCTACTTTCAGGCTAAATGGTGTTCTTACACTAGCTTAAATAAGGAAGCATCAATTCTCTTATTTTCTAGAATAAGTAAGTAGTCACCTGAGTAAGTCTAATTTCAAAATACATTCCGTACCACTGATAACATTTAAAATGAAAATTAATTTTAAAAATTTCTACACGGTGTTCAAAACCAAAACGAGGAAGTCCCTTTGAGAAGTCTACTCATCATATTAGAAGTTATAGCACAGCTTATTAGCCTATACTGACTCATTTTAAAACCAATTTTTTTTAGTTAGTACTTAAAATTCAAGACAAACTTTTCCAGTTGCATCACTCTTTCATTGCTGTTAGTGAAAGAATACAGTATTGTTATCTGTAATAATATCTCATAGCTTATCTTTTAAAACACAATATTAGCCAACTTGAAATATTATAGCATTTTGACAGCTGACACAGGGTACCTGTACTTACCCTGCAAACTTCAATGCTACAAAGACTATTGAAAACAACCACCCACCACCAACAACAAAAATGAAAACAAAATGAATTTGGTAATAAAATACCTGTCAAAAAGCACAGTACTTTACATTAATTCTAGAGTTAATTCCAGATAATAATAAATCACCAAAGGAGTCCTGGATGAGAGCCGTGACAACACAATGGAAGGCAGTAAAGAAGCTCACACACAGCAAAGTGATTTAAAGATTGAGAAGACTTAAAAATAACTCTTACATAAAGGAACAGTGATGGCACTTGGCTGTGCTGGTGGCCTACCCTATGTCCAGGAAAAGCTTTTCCTGGGAACTACCCAAATGTCACACCCTGCTATAGCACAGAAATTAAACGTAACTGATAAAGAAAAGTAACAATTGCACCAAAAATCATGGAAGCTCAGCCAACAGAGAACTGCCTCACCCAGCATGTGACCTACAGATATCACAAGCTGGGCTGAGGAAGGGAAGGAGCAAACAGTCTAACCTGCAGAACAAGAAAGAGCTCAACATGTGCCATAAATTTTGAGTGCTGGCAACTACGGGGCTGGGCAGGATTCTAAAACCCTAAGGAGAATCAAAGCGATGCACAGAAAATAGAAAGGCGGCAAACGGGCTATTTCTATGGGCTCATAAGTACAGAATCTTCTCCTAATGTGTGGGAAGAAATGACTCAAAAGAGCTTGAGATCTACCAGAAAAGGCAAAGCACTAAGGCTCTGTTGGCTAAAGTAAGACTTACTTGCTCTGCAGAGGAAAAACTAGATTTACTAAGGCTTAATATGACAATTTGTTAATGTCATATGAGGGCTTTTGTAGCAAACAGAACTTTCATTTTATAGACTATTTTGCTATGCTGGAAGGAGAGACCTGTCCACATCATCCTGAGGGGGGAGAAAAAATAAAAATTAGAAATGAGTTCTACAAGCGGATTATGTCTTCTAGCCTGCTGAATGACTATGGGAATGTGACCTGGGTTGCCTTAAAAAAAGTGAAGGCATAGCAGTGATTTGGATTGTCCCAGGTTCATTGACAATTGCCATGGGGAAGCAATCATTAAATGTTGCAGAAAAGCCAAGCTAAATAGGGGACGTTTCCTTCCACAGAAACAGAATCAAAAAAGTTCTGTTATAACACTGAGCTGTAATTGAGAAACAGAGAAACGACTAAAGAATCATCAGAGACCTAAATTAAATACAACTGGGATTTCACATTCCTTATGAAAATTAAGGTTTTAGCATGAGATAATTAGAGCAAGGATAGCCAGCTCATGGTGTGCCAGAACATATAACTCAGCCTGTCATCTTCATTCCTTCGAGTCCCTCAGAGTTGGTCAGGAAGCAGGCTGTCAGCCACACAAATCATTCCCTAACCCACAGCAGTCTCCCTGCTGTTCTCCCTTGCAAGAGCCCCGCAGCCTTCCTCCCGTCATGTAGCTGGACGTGCCCTAAACACAAATTATAGGCATCATGGTCACATGGAGCATGTCCGTTCAGTAACGGGACAAAAGGACTTATATATGTCCCCATCACACTTAACTGGGCTATAGTCAAGTGGTGACTACAGATTAGTTACGTGACAGATAAGCCCACGTTCCCTGGGTGCCTTGGTTGGGGGATATTGGATTGACCTGGTAGAGAAACTGAGTGACACCGACCTAAACGAAGTGAAGAAAATGAAGACAAGTGTTGTAGAGCTTAGGACTTGTAACAGAAAAAACAAAGATGAGAATGTGAAGGGAAAAGCAGCACATGCACGTTGTCAAATAACTAAACCTTGTGAATTATTGGTGGGGGGAAGGAGAGGAACTTCTTGATGACACGAGAAGAAAAAGAGTAGTGAACATAAAGAACAATCTAATAGAAGAAATAAAAAGGTTAAGAAAAAGGAAAACACTATTTCATGGACTTAAAAGACTGAACTTTTCAAAACTAATGAATTGGCCACAGAAAAATAATGTGTTAAAAGACAAAAGAAAATATTAGCAGCTTTGTACCACAAAAGAAATTCAGAAGTATTAAAAATATGCAGCTCTTACGTTACAACGTAGGTACGAAATGTAAAGAAAAGTAGTGACACATTATAAAACGAAAATGTATTTCCCTAAAGAGAGAGAAAAATTAAAATTCTAAAATGCAGAGGAGGTTTTTTTTGGGGGGGGACGGGGGGACACAACACATCAGGGCAGAAACCAGTCTTAATTGCAATACAGAATTAGGATAGAGAAGTGATCTGAAACTCTGTAAAACACCATGTGCCAGGTTCACTGAAGGAAGATGAGTTTTAACAGAGGTACTGGGGATCACCACCACCTCTCAATACCTCCCAGGTAAACCTTAGGAGAAAAAGACAATGCAATTAAGTCTGCTGTTGATAAGCATATCTGCCTGGCCATATCATTAACAGATCTTCAAGCCATCTACACTGAAATACAGTGAAATGAATTTGGTAAACCAAAAAGCATTTGGATTTTTTTCTTCCATTTGGTTTTAGCAGTAAAACAGCTGGAGGAGAAATATAGAAATATTAATCATAAGCCCTACTATTCTTGCCTGGCCTCATGCAACAGGGCTTTCAAACTCTTATATTTATCACAAACATAAGTAGTTCTCCAAAAACCTCAGAGAAAGCAAAACAGATGAAAAGCCAAGTAGGAAAGAAAGAAAAAAAAAAAAAAAGGGTGTTGAGACCATTTGGGGATAGATGAATAAGAGCAGGATAGTACGTAAGGGTTGAAGGAAAACAGCCGATATTTGCAGCCATCTAGCTTCTAAAAGCCGGGCTTTGGATGAAAAATGCTTCCGTTATCATAGGCTTTGAAATACACCACTCTTAATCAGAAAATATTTTATTCAGAAGGCTAACGTATAACGCAATCACTAGTGATCAAGACCCAGAATAAAGTTCTCTAGGTTAGTAACTACATTATTCAGACCCTTTCAGAACTTCAGCACATGATTTCAGAACTACACTATTTGTTTTAATCACAGCAGCGTGAACCCTGAAGCAAACTGTGCTTCCTCTCAGAGCAAAGATTAGAACCAACAAAAAGTCTTAGCTTTTGAGAAAACGTATTTTATTATGACAAAATAAGCAATCACGCCATCGCCTCACTCTTCTAGCAGATGGCCTACTGCACTGTGTAACGACCATATGATTTTTATCCTACATTTAAAATATTTGCTTTGAACATTATTTCATTTTAAGGCTGATTTTCTTTCAAGGTCAATAAGGGCTTCTAACACAGGTATGCCTCAAATAATAACATCTATTCATTTCAGATACTTTAGAAAAAACATATTCAGGGAAGGATTTCATTTACAGCTCTTCCATGCCCAACAAATCCATTCACTTTTCACTTACCTGCCTGTTAAGAGATTTTTATTAGCTGACTAACTAGCCACCTAGTTACTATCCCAGCAGACTATGACTTCCCCTCTTCATGATGCTATTTAAATATTTTAACACTTAACATTTACTTGCTGTTTCACTCAGTCTCTCTTACCTGTTAACCTCTGCCAGAGCTTCCCCCGTTTAATAGTCACTGCTAGCTGCAGTATCTTCCTTGGTGTTCCTGTAATAACAGGATTGAAGTGCTTTAACCAACTAGCAAATTGCCCTTCACAGGGGTGGATATGCCCAGAGTGGTGAGCTCATGGGCTTCCCTGCCTTTCTCAATACCTCTTAACCCCTTTCTTTTTGTGTTACCCACTATCCTATAGATTTAAGGAGAAAGTGTCTGCTTCATCCCGCTTTCCTAGGTTCTCCCTACCTGCCTTTTAACAGTGCTTACATAACAGACCATTTTTATTTTAGATAGCTACTACGTTATTTACATAGTGACTACTACCAAAAATCACCCATAACCGAGGTGCTTCCTTCGTTTCATTCGTACCTGGAAAGTATCATTTCCAAGTTCAAAACCGCCTTCATACAGACGAATACACGAGAACAAACTCTGAAACCGAACTTCCAACCGCATTTCCATGGTGAGAACTCGCTCCACCCCCAGCCTGTGCTTCCCTCAGCCCCGCCACAGGTAACGGCTCGGCCCCTCGGTGGAAAGTTTAACGCGGAAAGACCTTTTCCTTCTAACAGGCAGCTGCCGAACCTGCAACCCAACGGCCCCTTCCACCGATGACAGCACGGCAGTCCCCCCCGGGCCGGGGGTGCGGGGCCGGGCCAGGCCGGGCCGTTTCCCCCCCTCAGCCGCCTCACGCCCCTCGCGCCGCCCTCGCTAACGGCTGGCCGCCCCCCCCCCCGCCCGCGCCCCCCCACCCCCGCCCCCCCCAGCCCATCGTCGCCGAGTTTTTCTGTAAGAGGCTGCGGCGGGGGGGTGAGGGGACCGGGGTGGGAGGGAGGAGGGGCGGCTGCTAGGCCTGCTGCAGGGCGACATGGCCGCCTCACGCACATATTCCGCCCCCCCCCATCCCTTCCGCGTGTTGCAGCCTATGGAATCAACAGCATCCTCTACCAGCGGGGCATCTATCCCCCCGAGACCTTCACCCGCGTCCAGAAGTACGGGCTCACCCTCCTCGTCACCACCGACCCCGAGCTGAAGAACTACCTCAACAACGTGGTGGAGCAGATGAAAGGTGGCGGGGCGCGGGGGGGCCGGGCCGGGGCGCTGAGGGGGCTTCTTCAAACTGCCAAGCCAGAGCGCCCTCCTTGTGGCTCTGCTGATGCTGCTTTCTGGCACCGCAAACAACCGCTGTGGCTTCTTTCAGAGTGGCTGGGCAAGTGCATCGTGCAGCGCCTGGTGGTGGTCATCTCCAGCATCGAAAACAGTGAGGTTCTGGAGCGCTGGCAGTTTGACATAGAGTGCGACAAAACTGCAAAGGACGAGAGGTGAGTAATGGCGTTCCTCTGCGCCTGCTCTTCCCTACCCCTAAGCTGTGCAGGCACAAGATAAACGCCATGTCCATCAGCACTGTTCTGGTTCCTCAGAGCAGCCGAGATCGCCTTTTCTCACTACGAGCATGGAAGATGTTCCTTCAAACCTTACCAAACCTACTACCTTTCTTACTGCTATTCCTTCTGTTTGTAAGCCAGTCACTATACAATTGAAGCATTGAAGTTTTGGGTTTTTTAAGCATCAAATCAAAACTTAATTTTTCATCTTCAACAAAGTATATAAAATCCTGTATCAGGAACATGCCCTAAAGAACTACTGCCTTCCTATTGTTATGCCAAAATGTTCTCATCCACTCCGGACTGTAAATAAACATAACATTCTTTACCAATACTATGAAGCTTCACAAACAACAATAAAGGGAAACCAACTATCACTTTTCTAAGCTTATCTATCTAAGGCTTGAAAGAGTGTCACTACTATAAAAAAAATCCTATAGCAAACAGACCAACAGAGCTTAATAGACAGAACTGTATGTAAAGAAAACTCTAAGTATAGTAGAAGCTTACTTTCCTAACAAAGTTTTTCTATTTTCCAGTGCACCACGAGAAAAATCTCAGAAAGCTATTCAGGATGAAATTCGATCCGTTATCAGACAAATAACTGCCACAGTAACCTTTCTGCCACTGTTGGAAACTGCCTGTGAGTATTCCTAACTTCACTAAAGAAATCAAACACTTTTTTTTAAAAAACCTCAACAGCTTTTCCTCTTTAGAAAATATTTCCTGCGGCTTTTTAATCATTACATGTCACATACCGTCACATTTCTGAGACAGTATTATTAGACTAAGATGAGGACAAAACTCAGGGTGGCTTAACTAACTTAATGCAACTAGTATGTGTGCTCTGAGGAATGTAAGTTTTCATCAATAATAAATTATTTTGGTGACTGCAGCTGTGGACAGACTTGTATAAATAACTCTTGAGTTCATATGAACCGTTACATAAAACACAGTGGAGCTGAGCTCAACAGGTTTAAAAAAAAAAAAACCTCTCTTGAGAAAACTAAAAAGGCTACACATGAATATATCTAAGACTTGTTTTTATGTTTTAACTATTTCTTTTCACATAACTATACTAGTGTATTAGTATACTCTAATTTCTGAGAACCTTAGTACAGGTCTCAAGTTCTAGAAGATGCACTTTAACTTCAAACATGCCATCTCCTAATGCATGCATTACTCTTCACTTGTTTCTACTTGCTTACAGGTGCCTTTGACTTGCTGATATACACAGATAAGGATTTGGCAGTGCCAGAAAAGTGGGAAGAGTCAGGACCACAATTCATAGCCAATTCGGAAGAGGTTCGTCTTCGTTCTTTCACTACTACAATCCACAAAGTAAACAGTACGGTGGCTTACAAAAAGGATTCCTTTCCCTAAGACCTGTATATATCCTGTCACCTTGTATAGTTTCTGTTCATAGTGCAGCTAAGTCATGAACACATCATTACTGTTGCTCTTGCTGAAGTACGATACAGAAAAAAGGCGACGTGTTTGTCTATGGTAACGTGGTGTAACACTAGACTAAGCTGGCATTGTTTTTAGAGGTCTAAATAAGGTATTCATAATGATAGTTAAATTCTTACTTAACCACATGAGCTAAACTAATGCTGTATTGAATTACTGCATTCACTAGAAAAACTGCCTAAATCTAGGATTAATTGCTAGAACTGTGTTCAGATCCTGTAATTTACTATTTTAAGATTAATCGTTCTATTAGCATGCTATTAGCAGGCTTAAGTTCTCTCTGGCACTAAAAAGATGTGTTTCCTGACATGCCAGTTCATGTTAAAAGCCAGGGCTGTTTTATTACTAGAAACAACCCTGAAATGAATCAACAGAACAATTCTGAACTTACTTGTACCTCCATATAATGCAAGCAGCTGTTTATCAGGAAAACCTTAAACAAATGAAACCTTGTATATTGATGACTGCTGGACTCTAGTTCTGGGGATGGTGTTGTTCTGACTCAGCGTGTCTCTAGTGTCTGTCAACCATTTTCTGTGTTTGTATTCTTGTTTTGCAGAATAAAGCTTGAAATTGTATAGCGTTCTCTAATTCAGAGTCTCTAGTACTTCGTAGCATTCATAAAACCATCTAAAATACATCTTAGTTTATAACTGTCATAGAACTAATACCCTAAAGGAATCCTACCTCTACTGTTACTTTAACTGTTTCCTCCGAGTCTCAACAAGTGGAGTCACTATAAAATCCATTCATGGATTAATAGTTTGACCCTACTTAAGTCTTCGAACAACAGTATAAATAGTCACAGTGACCTAATGATTAAGCAGTAACTTCCATATTAAATAGCATAGGGGCTCCTCTTGCATTCTTCACACATTTTTGTACTGGAAGAAGTTAGGGATTTAAAACTGTAAGTGTTAACAGAACTTTCAGGCTCTTCCATGTTTTTGTTCATTTCCTTCACCAAATTCACTTCAGCCAGAGTATTTAACTTTTCCCACTCTTCCAGAATTATATACAACTCTTCCTGTTGTATATAATAATGTATATTCCTATTGTAACAGTATAATTTCAGAAGTTTATTTAAAAAACATCGATTACACAAAGTTTCTGGGCTTTCCTACCAGGAAATAGTTCTCTCCAACAGTCCCAACCTAGCAGAATTGAAAAGGCAGCCTTTTGTAAATCAGTAGCACAAAATCATGGCTTTTTAAAATAAATACAATCTAGGTACTTCAAAAAAAATGTTACACTAATCACTACTAGGGCTTGCACTGCAGTAACAGAGGAATACCTAGTGTTTTCTTCTGCCTGGCAGCAATATTCTTGAACAGGTGACTGCACTACCCCTTTACACCTAGAAGGAGGTGTACTTCAAGGAGTGCAACTTCAAGCACCGCCCCTGGGGAGGACTGGATCAAAGCAGTGAGTGCAAGTCAGCTGTAACAGAAATTTAAATCAGGAACTGACAACCACTGCTTTATACCAAAGATGAGATCAGGGGCTGACTGGCACAGAGCCAGCAGCAATGAGTATTAAAAAAAACAAAAACAAACCCCAAAACACCTTGTTTTACAGAGATGCAGAAGTCAGATTGCTCCGGGAAGTCCAAGTCACTTCTTTCTTGTACCAAACACAATTTATCTTCTTCTTTAAGAAGATCCATCTCCATCATCATCTGTATGTTTTTTTCCTCTTTTTTTTTTTTTTTAATAGAAGTACCAACAGTCAAGAAACATAGTATATCATTGCATAGAGATAATGTCCACAAAAACTACATGTGAAAAGGAACAGGTTGTAAATCCTTAAGTTTTCACAAAGGCCCTGCAGAACAGGAAAGAAAAAAATACAGTCGCATTAATGCAATCTCTGAGAAGTCAAGCCTTTATGGAGGTGTCCAGTAGGATTTGCTGATACCTAATGGGACCCACACTCTCCCTTAGTTTCCCCTACTTTGAGGGTCACTTCTATAGAGTGAAGAATCAAAAAACAAAGAAGCCCCCCTCATCTCCGACGGCAGTATAATTATTCTTGGGAAACCAGATAAAGGATAAAAGATTTAGAAGTTACCCAACAGGCATTCCTCACCTGACTAGTTCAGCTGACGGATAAGCTGGTTGATCGCTTCACCTCTGCAGCCAGGCTTACCCATTTCCTTGAGGAAACCCACTTTGTTACGTGAAGCATGGGGAGCCACTGACAGATGGAATGGCCATAGAAAGTTTGTGACTTTTTTGAAATACTTCCCAGCTGAGTAGATTTCATGAATAAGGTCTTCCAGGCAAATAATACCATAGCCCCCTGCAGAAAAAAAAAAAAAAAAAAAAATTAAAAAGCCCCCACAAACAACACATACACGAAATGCCCAACTATTGTTTTTCCTCATGCTACTCCAGAATTGCCAGTCCTCCATATATAAAAAGCCTTGCAAGATTTCTCTCCCTCCCCTCCCTCTTAGGTCAGATCGCAAACTCAAAATCCACCTCTTCCCTTGATTCACTTCATTTTCTCATCCTCTTCCTCACCTAAATGTTCCTCTATCAGCATATTGTCTGTCAGAGGCAACCTCTTTTTCTTAATCTTGGCTTGGCCCCGTTTCAAGATGAGCTCTCGTACAGATTTCAGGTTAGGGTGTCTGTGCAGAAACAAAAATCAGATTCTGTAACAGAGAGACATGATACAGTGGGAAGTCCCACCCTACTTTGTATAGAGGTGGGAAAGTAACCAAGTTATGTTTAGAACAATGAGAAAAGGGACAATAACAAGTATTAGATACAAAGCTGATGAAGTTTTGACCATTACTGGAAAAGCCAGCTATGGATTTGTGGTACCAGCTGGAGAATCAAAAAGCTATGTTATTTACATACAAACCAGTATCAAGTACCAGGACTGGTACTTACCCCCACGCCACGTAAGGTTCCACAATCCGCAGCATCTTCAGCGATAAAGGATTCAGTTTAACAAACGTTCCAGTGAAATTTTTTGTCAGCCGCAGCAACTCAATCACTCTTTTTACCCTCCTACTCACTCCGTTAATACTGAGTCAGAAAAAAAATACTATTAGTAACCGTATTTCTCTAATACGGCAACAAAAGGTCTCAGATTACCTGCAAGGAGACATGTTTGGGTTGATCATCCTTCCTTTGCTTATAAATGATACGACAGCTACAAATAGTAGCAATAATAAAGGTAAAGAGTAACAAAAGCTTCTTACTCTACAATCCGCACGACAAAGGCTAGTTTGTGCTCCTGAGGTACAGCCGTCTGTCCAGGTCTCTGCTCCATGCGCCTCAGCCGGACGTCATCTCGGTGTTTGCGCCACGAATCTCGAACAAAAGCCTCAAGGCGTTTAAACTGGATTTGTTTCCCCTTCTGGTGCTAAAGACAAAAGCATAAGAAATTATTACCCTTCCCAGCAGTCTTAGAGGTTTGAATCTCAAAAGGCAAATGAAATTCAGAACTTGATGAACTATGCTTCCAGTTTTGGAGGCAGTAAGAAAATAAATTTGACCATCTAAGCCCAAGGGAGACAGAACTGAGGGACAACAGATGAATTTACAAGCAGCTAGCTATAATTTTTTTATGAACAGTGAACAAAGTTTTTCCCCAGAAAAAAAAAAATTAGGAAAAACAGAGCAAGACGCAGGCACAGGAGAAATCAAATGGAAGCATTTGCAGCCACAGACAGATCTTCACAACCACATACACACCTCAGCCAGTCACTGGGAAAGCCAGAAACAACATATGTATCTGGGTAAAACAGATGATACCCTAGCAATACCCTAGCATGACTCAAAATCACCATCCAATAGAAAACAGCTGGGTTTAAAGTCTTTTTCTATAAAGGCAGACATGCAAAAAAAAATACAAACATTCAAATAACTATTAAGTATTATTAAACACATAACATCCAGCTCACTTAAAAAACAACAAAATAAAATCTTTTCAGAATTACAAGAAAATTTAAAGCTTTTTTTTAAATTAAAAAGAAGTTTAAAGGCCTATCCTTAGCTCAGGAACAAGTACATCCACCTAAATCATAGTGCTTCCCCAAATAAATACGAGCTGAATGTGCATGGCAGTTACCCAATAGTATTTCAGATACTTCAATTTTAAAATGGCCTAATAATTTAGCCAGTAGTGTATCTAATGTTATGTGTCTTCTGTCTTATTTCACCTTGTAAATCACCCATGAAATTGGTTAGAATTTTCAAAGCAGGCAGACCTGATCAAAATCTCACCACTAGGGTAATTTTTCTAATGAAAATCTTAAAAGGCAGCTAGTTAACATTATGGATTATGCTTCCATCTCTACCTTGGAAATACAGCAAGCCATTCATATTTAAAAATATAAACACAGTATCTAACAAAAATAGCAGGAGTTTTGCACATAATCCCACCAACTCCCCCAAAACAGATTCACTGGGAAAGCTTTAAGCCACTTCCAAGACAGGCACCTGCTACATTAGCTCAGATACAGCAAAACAGGTCTCAAATTCTTAAATATAAAGGTTTGCTGTGCTCTGCCAGTCTGGAAACCACACGCAGCACACAGGGAGTCTCTGCATTAGCAACATGTGCCACCCTACATGCAGAGAAAGGCTTCACAATGACCTGGCTATGTTCTAAAAGATTTATCAGCTAACGATAGATAGGTAAGTCTAAACACACTCTCAAAAAAGCACACCGTCTCCATAAAGTTTTACAATGCAAAGGTGAACTGGTTTCAGACAGTGTAATCCCATGGTAGCACAAACAACTCCACGCACGGCATGACGTTTTACTACGTGTTGCTGGTAATCGCTGTTCCAAGAGGAACAACTCGCAGTCTTCAATAAACTTCTGTTTCAGCATAACAACCCAAGAAGTTTTGTCCTCTTTAAAGGCCTCAGAGACACGTGGGGAAGATGCTCAACAACTGAAGTGAGGAACTCGAGCTTCCCCTCAGAGAGGATCATCACAGTCAATACGGAGTCTCAGCACGGAGCCGACTCCCTCCTTTGCCCGTCGGCAGAGCTCCGGCATCCCCCCTCGCAGAGGGAGCTGATCCCTCAGATCGTTTGTACGACTGCCCGGAATTAGGATTCCCTCCTCCGAAACAGCAGCACTGCAGATCCCCCCCGGCCTTCAGCCCCCCTTACAACCAGCCTCTCCCAGCCGGCCGCCACCCGCAGACTGCCGGACACCGCCAACTCCTCCGCCCCGTCAGCTCCCGGCTGCCACCCCCGGGACCCCCCGCGGCCAGCCCCTACCTTCCGCTTGTTGAGCAGCGCCTGCTTGGCCTGGGTGGCCTTGATGGCCTGGTAGGCCTTCCTCTTCTTCAGCAAGTTCTCCGGCACCAGCGGGATCCGGCGCTTCGGCCTGCGGGGCGGGAGAAGCCGGTCACATCCAGCAGCACCGCACCGCGACCCCCCGAGACTCCCCCGCCCCCCCCCCCACCCCCCCCGCCCCCCCCACCCCCGCCAGCAGCGCAGTGGCCATCCCAAACCTCACCGAGCGGCAGGGCCCAGCGCCAGACAGCTTGCCAGCACCGAGGCACAGAGGCGTTTGCCGGGGAGCGGAAGGACAAGATGGCGGTTCCGTGAACGCCTGAAGATGAACGGTGAAGCCTGGAAAGCGAGCCCGCACCCCTAGCAGGGACTGCTTGGAAACCGGGTGCCGCCTCGCTTCAAAGCTCCCAAAGGATGCTGGAGGGGGAAAAATAATTTAAAAAAAAAAGAAGCAAAGGTGGTGTAAGTCCCCTCAGCTGTTGCAGCCTCTACCCGCGCCACGGTGACAGAGCGGAGGCACCGAGGCGGGGGGGCCCCGCCCCCCAGCTTTTCCAGCCTCTACCCGCGCCACGGTGACAGAGCGGAGGCACCGAGGCGGGGGATCCCCGCTGCCGTACGCCGCGCTGATCCCGAGCAGAAACCGGGAGCAGAGAGGGCTGCCGGGGTGGCCGGGCTGGAGGTTCTGCCTCAGCCTGGGACCTGCCGCAGTTTTGTGGGAGAGCACGGCACTGTCCGCGTTTGACAACGCTGCAGAGCTTAAGCACCTTCCCTCTCTGCTGCTCCACCCCCCTTAAAAGGTACAAAGAACAGCGTTATCCCTGTTGTGAGCACCGAGGCATGGAAATAACGGGCTTGCAGGGCTGTGGCCCCTGGCTCCAGCTGCTGCCCTGGCAGCTTGCGCAGCCATACCCAGCAAACGCTCTCGGGCTGCGACGTGTCCCTCTCCCAGCTCTCCTGCTGTGAAACATCTCGCCACACCAGAGGCGTGCAATGGAGAAAAAGCCTTTCAGATTGAGCGTGTCGTTCAGCCCCTCGCCTGAACGCCCTGGGGAGCTTCACCAGGAGGAACAGGCCATTTTCTCTACCTCCCTGGTGGCTTCCAAGTGCAGCGGTCCTGCCCCCAAACAGCAGGTCCTGCCTGAAGGACCAAGTAGACCCAAGCAAGGACTCATGGGCCGCACACTGCAGCTGAAGTGTAGGCGGGCAGCTGGTCACAGCCACTTTAGAGGAAAGAGTCTCAAACGTGGCCAAGGTCCTGCAGAGCGGAAAGAGAGACAACCTTGCCTCTCATGCAGGCAGGGGCAGTGTGAGGAGGCAGCACACCATGTCCAGCTGTGCTGGAGAGCAGGGTGGTTATGGAGCAAGGAACCGGGGCTGGGGAGTTGCCATGCAGAACTGTAAGCCCAAGAGATTGCAGAGGTGGGACAAGGCGCAGAAACACAAGCTTTAGGTTCTCAGAGCTGGCCCTACTTTTGACACCTTCACATCAGCTTTGCTGATACTTCATATGAATGCTGTGCAAAAGAAAAAGATTACAAGAGGAACATTATACCTGCCAGATCTAATAACACCTCTACCATTTTACACTACTAATTGCATTGGTCCCTTATGTGTTTTTTATATTAAAATCAATGTGACTTTGACCAAAAATGTATTTCTCAAGAGACTAGACACAGCAGCATCTTGAAGAGACACTCAGAAGCCATGCAAACACAGAAGCTGCTTTGCCTTTTGGCATCCTCTACCACAGTCACTTGGGACATTAAAGAGTATCTGTCCCTGGCTGCATGTAATAAGCCTGAATGCTAGATTCGGCTATACCAATAGCCTAAATGTCCGTCAACACCGTCAGGAGTTATGTCTAGCACAGCTGGATTTCAGGCTGGACCCAAGGACCCAGGCTAAGGAGATAGGGGCAAAGCAAGCCTGGCACAGCATCCAGAGCAGTGCATGTCTCATCAGCCCAGGCTAAGGAGCCCAGGGAGAGCAACAGGAAAGAGAACAGCCTGATTCAGCTATTTACACTGCACTGAACATCCTCAGCTGAGTGACAAAAAGCATAGCTGGCAAGCACCTGGAACCAAAACTACAGCAATGCTTTTGTGTTTTTTTTCAAATTCCTATTCAAGAGGAGAAACTGGGACAAGAGGTCTGGACAGCACTCTCACCCGTAGATGGTGCCATAGCCTCACACTAAGGAGATGGTGTTGCATCTGATGAGGTTGTATTCATGTTCTGCTGCCTCCTCTTTGCCATGTAGGATAGAAAAGGGATGTGGGCCTATACACTGGACTTGTTCCTTTCATTGTGTCTCTAATCAATTTGATTTACACCAGCCACAGTTTCCTCCTCAACTTAACAGTTGAGACCTTGAGCCTTTCACTAGAAAGCTCAGTGATACCAAGGTTTAACTGCTCACCTCAATGAAGCTGCAAACCTTTATGACACTGTAAGTTAGGCCACTTCTATTTTGACACCTAATACTTAAATATCTGCATTTAGAAATGTGATCCCACATTCCAGTACCTGCTCAGGCATATGCTCTGCAAAGAACATACCCCCTGGTGAGCAAACCCAGCTTGCTACCAACTATTCTCTGATGCAACCTTTTGGATTATGAGACAGAAAGCAACAAGCTTATGAAATAAATCATATGAAACTTTCACTGAATAACTAGAAGCAAATCCATAAGTACATAAATTTCACTGACATTAGGATAAGCTGCTCCATATAAAAATAGCTGAAATCTCTGGTAGCTCACAACAGAAAATGTGGCCCATTTAAATCTACAAATGACTCTGGTTTGTTTAACAGAAGGGAACTTCTGTTAAACAGGATCTTGGGTATTTCATTATTAATGGTAAGGAAACAATAAGTAAGTAAATATTTCAAGCGCTGTTGCTATGAGCTGTCACACAGGATAGCAGCATACGTAGGCTGACTGATTAAACTTTAACTAATAGTTATATTATATTAATGAATGACTATTCAAATGCCCTTGTTTGCAGGGTTACTCAAGAAAAATATTCTCACTTTCGTAGACAGCAAGCTGTTGTAAACCGACTTTCAGCACTCTGAACTCCTATTCTCTCCTTTTTTTCTTGACAAGGCCTTACGTTTTCTGACATTTCCATGAACTGTTACAGAGAAATCCAGTGACACCGCATTTACGATAGTCACCATCCATCAGTGATGGATTGAATTATTTCTCCTAGTTTATAGGTCATTAAGAATGACAGGTAAAATCTTTAAAACAAAAAAACCTGGATATCTAGTCACACCCCTTTCAGTCATTGCCATTCAATGACTTCACAAACCAGCTGCTGGCTTCCCATCAGTATTTTTGATGAAGATCCATTTTGAGTGCATTTTCTCCATTCTTCGCCAACACGTCTCAGATAAGGCTCAGAACCCACCCAAGGAAATTATTTTTGAAAACAAGGTTTTATATAATTCAGAAACACCTGTTGGTTTGGGGAGGGTGAGAAGGGAAAGGAGAGATCACCTTTAAGGACCAAAATTGAATGTTTTGTATCAGAAATAAATCATCCATAAAGCAAGGCAGTAAATCATGTATCTTTTCATCAGCAGAATAGAATATAGCCCTTTTTTTCCTGTACTGCATGGAGGCTTTCTGCACTTTCATTTCAAAACGCAAAAAAAAAAAAAAAAAGCCCATAATATATTTTTTAGCAAAGCATGTTACCTTTTGATACTAGCTGAAGCTGGTCTTTTATGCTGTTTTGAGGAGATTGTGTTTAACGGTTGAATAGGGAGATCAAAATCCAGATGCTGCAGATATCTTTCTAGAATGGGCAGGTTTTTTCTCCACCCTAAAAGGGAAGAATTTAAAGGAAAAAGTATCTCTCAGAAAGTTAGGTCCTGCTTTGTCTGAGCTGCTTGCCTTTATAAATAAAACTTAGAACATTTTACAGATGACAAAGTGACCCTGCTATCATCACACCAGTCCATATTGGAGTGCTGCTGCAGCACACTCACAGATCACCGCCACAGTTTCTGCCTACTTTGGCTTGAAACTCTTCACAGTGCATCTACAATACCATTCGGTCCTGCAGAGCTAGCCAAAAGCAGGTCCCTTCATTATGCTTGGGACTTCGTTAGAACATTCGAGTAAATGAAAGCCAACGAAGACAGATATCATCCCTTTTGTTCCCCTGCAGACCTTACATGACTCATGTCCTCTAGCATTGTCTTGCGGGCTGTCTTTTTATTGTGATACTTTAGACTGGTATTTTGTGTCATGTATTTTAATGTTTATTTTTATTACCTTATTCATGGATACAAATGCAAAGACATTAGAAAATACAAAAATAGCAAACTCATGCTGATGGGTGTGAATGTCACAAAAGGAGATGCTGTTGCTTGTTCCATTGTTGTATGGGTGTAGTCCTGTTTGACAAAGTGACCACAGCTCTTGTTTGGATTAAACATTTAAGGCTATTTTCTCACTGCAGTAGGAATAAATAGCATGGACTTTAGCCACAGCTTAAATCTTCATTTTCATGATGCCAAAGGCGTAGCTTTCTGAAAGCATCTGAATGTCCCTCTCTCTTCATTAACTGAGATGTTTGCTATTTGGTGTACAGCCCGTTGGTTTTGGATGCATTGTTTTTGATGGTGAACTGTACGCAGATGTGGAAGGAATAAGTTGCATACAAAGTTCTAGACATCTACATTGCCAAGCTGTTTCTACAGTCATGCAGTGATAGCAATCATTAACTCTAATTTTCTGAAGATTTGAATCCCAGATAACGTCCCTACAATTTGTTATGACATGCCTACTGCTATAGAAATTTCCAACCCTTTCTTTATACTTACTACGCTTCTGTTTAGGTACTGCCAGCTATGGTTCTTGTGTTACAGCTTTTCTTAGTATTTCTATAATAAGGGGATAGTTAATAGTAATATGATATATTGTACTGCCATAGCTCTATAACTGTATCTAAGCCATATACCTCTATAAATGTAAAGCAAGACAGCATGTCTGTGAAGCTGTCACAGTATTCAGGCTGGTATTTGATCTGCAGTTTGAAAGTGCTGCACGTGCAGCTTGAAAAAGTAACAAAAACGCATTGCTAGTTGAGCACACAAATGTATATAAAATGTGTGTATGTGAATTTGTATAAACACATGCAACCATGACAAAATATAAATATGTAACTATAGTTAAGAGCAACGTATGTCAAGAACTGACTCACTTCTGCATGCAAAATTTTAGGGCTCCTGTGATGCAATTTAGAGTGCAAAAAGAGGAGGGATGATGCTGACCTGACTGCAGAAACAGTGCCTGCATTTCAGAGACAGCAGCTAGGTAAGGAAACAAAGGGTGGATAACAACATGGGAACAACGGTTCCCAAAGCAAAGTCAGGAGGTGAGGTAGGATGTTAGAATCATCTTGTCCATGAAACTTCTTGTCTTATTTTATCATCTCACTTTAAAAGAAGACTATAAAACCCCATTAAATTAATTTCAAATCCCACTAAATCTCTATTGACACCGTGTGCAGTCTCAAAACAGCCGAAGAGCCACGCTTGAAGTCTATCACTCTCACCAGTGAACCATGCCCCAATCTGAAATCTGTCTGTAATGAATTCCCTTATAAAAAGAGCCAAAGAATTAAATTCTGTTTATTTTGCCAAACCGTGATCTAATCTTGGGAACATTTTTAATAGGTAAAATACCTTGTGATCTTAAATTATGCCCATTTTCAGATCTTCTAAGGAAAAAGTTTATATGATTTGGAAAGAGGCCCAGGAACTACTCTATACACACACTCAAACCACTGTTTAACAGAGAAAAGAGCTGGGTGGTCTGAGACTTTCCTTCATGAAAAGAACAATCGTATGGAGATAGACTAATATTAAGTAAAAATATTTTTGTCAAAAGCTGTGGATAGATACATATTTTTATTCTTTTAATAACAAGGTTCCTTAATGTCAGCATTTTTGCCAGAAATCCTGCAAATCCATTTCATGCCTCAAAAGCAGTCATCTAGGTATAATGAAGAGACACGGATGAAACTAACGTAGGTGTGTACCCTCAGCTAGTGGCCACCTAATAGGTCAAATTGAAAGGGCTAAAAAAGTTAAGTTTTAGGCTTTGTGTCTACCTGGAAAAAATGAATGAGGAAAACCAATTCATTTAAAAATAAACATTTAACATTTTAGATTTCTGCCCTTGTCTTTTCACTGAAGGGATTTGCTTTATTCAGACTTTACAAGTAACCCCTCAAAACTCTACTTTGTGACCTCACAATTTGTTGAAGAACTACAGCTAACCGCATCACCATACTGAGCTGCACGTACCTGTATAAAACTATACTAGCAATTGAGTCCATGCCAGCCACAGGGAACACATCTCCAGGATATAGCCCACATGTCATGGGATTTACTACACCTCCATCCATGGCGAGTCCAGCCTGCTGGGCATGACCAAGGTACAATCACAACACTTTTCAGGATTTGACCCTAGATATGGCCTCCTAATGCACGAGCACAAATTTGACCCAAAAAGGGGCTATATATTTATAATTAGTTTAAAAAAAAAACGAAAACACACAAAACCCCACCAAAACTTTTCAGAACAACTTAGCATTATTCTGACATTTTCACTGAATTCAAAGGAAAGAGGATCAGCCAGAAGCTGGTATCATTTAGAACGCTACTTTCTAAATATTGTGCAATATGCATCTTATAAATAGATTCAAGTAAGTAGATAAAATAACTCTCCATTGACAACAACAGGGTGATAATTAATAACACACCCATTGCTTGCCTCCCTCATTGTGGCATAACTGACAACCCCATCTTGCAAGCACCTATTTCTGTGAGAAATCCCCCTAGTTTCCATGGCCCCACAGACAACTGAACCTCTCACACTCCGGGATATTTGCCAGGCTGGGTCAAAACTGACTATCTGTGGGAGACAGGAATGCTACGTCTCTCAAGAGGCACGTGGACCTACTTATTATTACACAATGTGCTCGTTCATTTACAGCTTTATTGTCTTCTTCAAGCTGCCTCCTGTGTGAGGAGCAGACTTGGCAGCTATAAAATACTTTCTAATGTGGAGAGTTTCCCCATGTACACAAGACCAAGTCCTCTAACACTGCCCCCATGGAGAGGCTGGCCAAGTTCCTTCAGTAAATTCTACTGCCATTACT